ACTTTAAAAACAACCAAAGTTGAGATGTCAGTATGTTATTATACTATTTTATCTTTCCTTTACCAGTCACTCTTTTTCCTCTTTCTTTTCTTTTCGAGTATTTTGTTAGGTTGAAAATATTTTATTAAGTTGTCCCTTGTCCATACAATACAATAAAATACAATGCAGGAAAACACTAAAATATTGATTGAAATGATCTGCTTTGTTTACATTGTTACTGTTATAGGAGATTTATCTGAATATCTGAAGTTAAGTATGCTCTCTTGCCATTTACACATATTAGGCTTTGTCCAAAGGCAATCAAATGAACTGAAATTATTTTAACCTGTAATTAATCCATGTAAAAAGAACACGTCACTGGATTCTGAAGCACAATATCTATACTTTTATAGGTTAACAAATAATTATGGTCCATAAAACACATGCCAGAATGGAGTGTTTACTATTACTACATTTTAGATTATAGGAAACAGAAAGTGGAGGGAAATGATTCAAAATGAAACCTTTTTTGCTGGAAACCTGCCACAGGATGTGTGCAGCTGCAAGAAATTTATACGGAGTCACTATAAAGACCTGGAAGTTTGGAGTTCTGATATGCACACTTGGTGAAGATCAAACTAGGATAATATAACAAATATATTTATATGGAAGTATTTATTTAAAAATGTTCTTTCTCTGGAGAGCAGAATGCATTTCTGACCAGTTAGTAGTCTAAAAAGGTTTAGTAACATTAGTTCAGAGTTCACTTTTAAGTAAGATTCATGACTCAAAATGAAAATTTGACAAGTTCAACAACATTTCTCTTCAGAATAACACGTCAGTAGAAAATCAACATTTTTCCCAGAATGATCTGCTATAAGTATTATTTTAATTTATAATCTCATTGACACATAAGGGCATCTTTTTCTCTTTAAAACTCCCTCATGAAGCTCAACTTTACAGTTTCCTCACATATTACAGTAAAGGAGTTCAAAGCTGCATTATTGGTTCTAAACAGAGACATCTGAAAACGGTCAGTTTATTTTTGTTGGTGACAAAAGTCAAACTCAGAGGATATGCATTATTCCTACCCCTTATAAAATGTACAGGCATGCATATTTTTTTTTTAAAAAACCTACATGTATAGACAAAATGTTGTTACTTGGTGAAACGGCATGGCCTTGCAGTACCAAGAAAAGTGACAGAGGAAAGTATTTTCAGTCTAAAAAGGCAGCAACATGACCATCAGTCATTATATAACAGAGCAAAACGAAAAGCAGAAAAACACAACTGAAACATTTCAGATACAAAACAATACACTCAACGAGAGCCCAAAATACAATGTCAGTATGCACAATCTTACGGACCTTTCTGGAACAAATACAAGTACCACAGTAATTGAGCTCAGAATAATGTCCATTAGTAAAGAAGGCCCTTGTTGCTCCTCATCATGTCCTGTTTTTCTCTACAGATGAAACACAGCTTCACAGAACTGGTCCCAAAATACCTACCTTTTATAAAACGTGTACCATACAATTCTGAATATGTTTAAAATTGCATACAGTGTAGTGGTATAAAGAGGCTGAGCAGTCCTGGCTGTTGGGTCTGTCTCCTGATTTGTTATAAAAACCCTGAATAGACTGTCCCATGTATGATCTCCCTTTAAATATATATAAATTCTCAAATCACTTTGTTTCCATAGCAGCAGCGACGAATGGAAATGTCCATAAAACAAAGTGCACAGTTACTTTTTTGTCTTCTATTAACACATATCTGAGAATATTGCAGTTATTAAAACTGCCGTTTATGCTGCGGGTAGATCGTCATCATCATCGATGTAAGGGATGTCCAGATCGTCGAAGCTCCTGTTTAAAGTCTTGCTGGTGATTTGGGGCTTGTCGGTTGGGGAGGAGTAGTCTGGGCTGGGAAGGAAGCACATGGACTGGGTAACATCTGTCTTTTGTCCTAGTGCGAACTCTCTCTGTCCGTCATCTGTCTGAGCCATTAGACTTCTGACTCTCTGCGCCAGGTCAGGAGGTTTAGGCGGACAGTTGGGTTTCTGGGTTTTCGATCGCATGGTCACCTTTCCTGGAAATAGAAAAATAAGACTAGTAAATATATTTGCTATGAGATTTTAGTACACACTTACTGTCAAGTTCCTGCATTGGTTTGATATTATAGCTTACTAAAGGAAACAATAAACAGAAGATGTATAAGATATAAAAAGAAGCTGGTATTCTCATGACGGCACACGCCTGTAGGGTTGAAGAGGATATGTAGCTAGAGTAGCTTTGATGCTTAACATCTAATTAGATAATTTATGCTGCAACTCCTTTGTAAGGGCCTCAAATAAAGTGCTTGTTGGATAGTCTAAGGTGCCAGTATGCTCTAAACAAAGCATTTTGTACACACTGGAGGGGCTGTGTTCGACAGAATGGTACCCACTTTTTGGCCGTGATAGAAAATAAAAGGTTTGAACTTCTCACTCTAACAGAATTTTTGTCCACCTTTGGCCAAGTTCGGACTAAAAACATATTCAGCATGCTCATTTATTTTAATGAGGCCACTTAATGTTGCTACCTATGTAGAGGGCCCTGGCAAACAACTAAACAAAACACAGGGTCGTCCAGCAAAAATGTTTAACCTAGCAATATTTTTGCTGGACCACCAGCGACGCCATCCGGCACGATGCTGCGATGGCCAATCAAATAAATGCCAGCACACATTCCTGGCACATAG